ACCTTGCATGGAACCTTACGACCCACATTACACATCACACGGCATTGTGATATCGACGACGATGTTTCTCAATTCATTCCTCGACCGTATTTATCGGTTGTTGACAGTATACTAAAATTGTTTTGTCGTTATTTATCTATCCAGGGCTGAGAAAGAGCGCTCTCAGTACTTTAGCGAAGTCAATGACCTTCGTGCCGGACTCGACCATGTGTCCAACGAAAAGGTACAAGGATGAACAAACAATGTTTTGGCCGTTGCCATTACAGGGCTTCGCTTTGCAGCTTATTAAATGGAGATTAAAGTCAAAACACCACACATGGAAACACATAATCCATCCCATACAATAAAACTCATTATAATACACTAATAAGATTTTCACTCGATTAGGTATAGCATGAAAGCTAAAACCGCCTCAACGTGTGAACAACATTCCTGATAATACGTTAACATTCCAGAAAAACAAATAATGAACTGCATGAAAATCTAAAAAAGAAGACGCATGAAAATTTTTTGTAATGTTTTCCATTTTTAAATAATTATTTTTAAATTACTTAATTTTATCTAATTAAAAAAACTAATATTGTTTCATTACATAATAATAACAAACATTGACACATTTACCGACCATATGTACATAGAGTATATTTTACACTAAATATAATCATTACAAGCTTTTTAATACAAATATATTATCCAGGCTGCCCAAGAGAAGATCGTCAAGCAGCTGCAGCACCAGCTCAACGAGGTCCAGGGTAAGGCTGATGAGGCCAACCGCACCCTCAACGACCTGGATGCCGCCAAGAAGAAGCTGTCCATCGAGAACTCCGACCTTCTCCGCCAGCTGGAGGAGGCCGAGTCCCAGGTGTCTCAGCTGTCCAAGATCAAGGTGTCCCTCACCACTCAACTCGAGGACACCAAGAGGCTCGCCGACGAGGAGGCCAGGGTATGTATTCATACATAGAGTGTGTTGTAGTATATTCCACTCTCTTCAGAACCGTTTGTAATGTTATTATTTTACCCACAGGAACGCGCCACCCTTCTTGGCAAGTTCCGCAACCTCGAGCACGACCTGGACAACATCCGCGAACAGGTCGAGGAGGAAGCCGAAGGAAAGGCTGATCTTCAACGCCAGCTTTCCAAGGCCAACGCTGAGGCTCAGCTCTGGCGCTCCAAGTACGAGTCCGAGGGTGTTGCCCGCTCCGAGGAACTCGAGGAGGCCAAGCGCAAGCTCCAGGCCCGCCTTGCCGAAGCCGAGGAGACCATTGAGTCCCTCAACCAGAAGGTTGTTGCCCTCGAGAAGACCAAGCAGCGTCTCGCCACCGAGGTCGAGGACCTGCAGCTCGAGGTCGACCGTGCCACCGCTATTGCCAACGCTGCCGAGAAGAAGCAGAAGGCCTTCGACAAGATCATCGGAGAATGGAAGCTCAAGGTCGACGACCTTGCCGCCGAGCTCGATGCCAGCCAGAAGGAGTGCCGCAACTACTCTACCGAACTGTTCCGTCTCAAGGGTGCCTACGAAGAAGGCCAGGAACAACTCGAGGCTGTCCGCCGCGAGAACAAGAACCTCGCCGATGAAGTCAAGGATCTTCTTGACCAGATCGGTGAAGGTGGCCGCAACATCCATGAGATCGAGAAGGCCAGGAAGCGCCTTGAAGCTGAGAAGGACGAGCTCCAGGCTGCCCTTGAGGAGGCTGAGGCTGCCCTTGAACAGGAGGAGAACAAGGTTCTCCGCGCTCAGCTCGAGCTTTCCCAGGTCAGACAGGAGATCGACAGACGCATCCAAGAGAAGGAAGAGGAATTCGAAAACACCCGCAAGAACCACCAGCGTGCCCTCGACTCCATGCAGGCTTCCCTCGAAGCCGAGGCTAAGGGCAAGGCTGAGGCCCTGCGCATGAAGAAGAAGCTTGAGGCTGACATCAATGAGCTCGAAATCGCTCTTGACCACGCCAACAAGGCTAACGCTGAGGCCCAGAAGAACATCAAGCGCTACCAGGCCCAGATCAAGGACCTCCAGACCGCTCTGGAAGAGGAACAGCGTGCCCGCGACGATGCCCGCGAACAGCTCGGCATCTCGGAGCGCCGTGCCAACGCCCTCCAGAACGAACTGGAAGAGTCCCGCACCCTCCTGGAGCAGGCCGACCGTGCCCGCCGCCAGGCCGAGCAGGAACTCGGCGACGCTCACGAACAGCTCAACGAGCTGTCCGCCCAGAGCGCCTCCCTGTCCGCTGCCAAGAGGAAACTCGAGTCCGAGCTGCAGACCCTGCACTCCGACCTCGACGAGCTCCTCAACGAGGCTAAGAACTCTGAGGAGAAGGCCAAGAAGGCCATGGTTGACGCTGCCCGTCTTGCCGACGAGCTGCGCGCTGAACAAGACCACGCTCAGACCCAGGAGAAACTCCGCAAGGCCCTTGAACAACAAATCAAGGAACTGCAAGTCAGGTTGGATGAAGCTGAAGCCAACGCCCTTAAGGGAGGCAAGAAGGCTATCCAGAAACTCGAACAGAGGGTCAGGGAGCTCGAGAACGAGCTTGACGGTGAACAGAGGAGACACGCTGACGCACAGAAGAACCTGCGTAAGTCTGAGAGGCGCATCAAGGAGCTCACCTTCCAGGCCGAAGAGGACCGCAAGAACCACGAACGCATGCAAGACCTGGTTGACAAACTGCAACAGAAGATCAAGACCTACAAGAGGCAGATCGAGGAAGCCGAAGAAATCGCCGCCCTCAACTTGGCTAAGTTCCGCAAGGCACAGCAGGAGTTGGAGGAAGCCGAAGAAAGGGCAGACCTTGCTGAGCAGGCCATCAGCAAATTCCGTGGCAAGGGACGCGCGGGTTCCGCCGCGAGAGGAGTCAGTCCGGCGGTGAGTTTCCTTCACTAAGTATTATACAAACCGTCAACAATAATTCGAGATACTAAGCATCGTTCTCTGATTCAGGCGTCCGTTAAAGGGCGTCCCTAAATCAGCACTGGAGATTAATATGTAAGTTGGCAATGTAATGCACGCCACATATAGCACTATGAGCAGTGCAGTCCCCACCGTAGATATAGACCTTGTGGAAGTTGTCCCCATATGTTATTCTCTTGCATCTCTCACTCCCGGGCATGACCGAGTATCCAGATCCTGCATGACAGTGATGTAAGCTGCAGATGATGGTGACGATACTAATGCGTGTGTTTCCTCCACAGCCCCAGCGCTCGCGTCCCGGCCTTGCTGACGGTTTCGGCACCTTCCCACCTAGGTTCGACCTGGCGCCCGAAGATTTCTAAACGTTCCACTACAGAAAAAAAACGGACTGTACAGATTTTTCGTTGAAATGTAACTAATTTTTTTTTATACATAGCAGTTGAAAGTTACGAATGCGTGAAACGAAAAACTGTAAAAAAAATTTTGTAAGCCAACAAAAAAATATACACTTTAGTGATCTAATCTTTTTACCAAAGGCTATTTTGTAACTTGTTGATATTTATTTATATTATTTATTACCGTGGAGTATGTATCGAGAGTGCGAGGCCCCGAGAGAAGCGCGTGAGCTGTGCGTGCGCATGATCATTCGAGACACGCCCTCCACCTCCTCACCGCTGCCTGCGCGCGCGCCTCTCTCGCTTGCCTCAATTTGACATCTAATAAAGCGATATCGTTGTCATAAAATACTATAAGCTGTGTTTTCATTTATCTCTATTTGTAATCCCCACGATATTATTTAAATCCATACACATAAATAATGTGATTACACGAAAGTACTCAATAAGAATTCAATCTTATGCCAAGAAATCACTCCAAGGAAGGATATCTTCCAGGAATATTTAGTAAAAAAAGTTCACATGTAAACATACAAACCAATAAATAGCCTTGAGTGCAAGAATATTAATAGCACATGCGAAGAGAGATACTTACTCACACAAACAAAATAATATCAGAAGTAGATCTTATTACAGACATATTTAGGCTGATCACAATGATTTTCACTGTCTGACTCGTTCAGTGTACCCTGACACTACCTCATTTTATTCAACAATACTCCCACAGTTACGACCCACCCAAATTTTCTGCCTTTATCCGTTCACATATTTATTTCACCCATACTATATGACATACACTTCATATTATTTCCAATCCTATTGTAATTATTAAACTAGTATATGATTGTTATATAATTGTAAGCATTTTCTCAACAACCAAAAAAAAAGCTTCGGGTTTGCATCACAGAGTCTTAATTTCAATCATCGGCATCGTCACATCAGCCACTATCGAACACAGGCGTGGCCTCTCTCAATGCCTTCCAGACCGGCTGGTTGCATGCATCCACCAAAATCTATATTGATTCCAAGAAACTCTGATTTCCTCATTATTTTATTTCGGCGTATTCAAATAGAAAAAGACAGTTACTCTTAAATATTTATTTCACAATATAAATAACGTTGTAACCTTAATACAAAAACTTGTAAAATTTATTTACACAAGTCGAGGAACTGGGCTTCGTCAACATTTCTCCGAACTCTGAGTTTAACAAACAATATTTACTGAAGTAGAACAAACAGATCGTTGAGATCATCTTACACCGCTCTCTACACGCAAACTAAATTAATATTATATTCGTTAGACTGAGAAGCAAAGAGAAACGATTTTAAGGTGACGATAGTTTCTACTAACAAATATTTACGCTATGCACTAGTCTAATAAAGGAAAATAGTGAAACATTCAGAATGACAATCACTGCAATGTGCAATTAGTATTTAAAATAGACATTTTTACTTATATCTATTCGTTGGTGTGATAGTCTTTCACTAAACAATTTTGTTTGATTTACACAATTGTTAAAAATATTTATGTAAGAGGTAGTTTTGTTAACACTGTATTATTTGAAAAGTATTTTGAAGACAGTATGACGATTAATTTAAGAAAAGTAATTAGTCACGAATTATTTACAATTACAGTAAAGTCTCTATATCATTATGCCACACTTTCACACCTTAATCTAAATACTCTCTGGTTCCCTCAGTTACCAATAATTCCAGAATACTTTAGTTGGGGCAGCACTGTTGGGTGAGGCCTCATTCTCTTGTTCAGGTACAAAGCTCATGCTACAGAAATCCAGGTTGGCTTGCGAGAAGTGCTTGAATTTTTCCTGGAACTCAGCCCAGGTGCATCCTTTCAGGGGACAGATTGGTGTCTCCTTCTCGTTGATGAATATTTGGACTCGGTACTCCGGGTTGATATTGTTATCTGTGCAGCTGGAGAAACAAAATGACGATCGTGAGTAATACAATTCAAATTGTTGGCTCTTATTAGCAATGGGAATGAATATTTTCATTTAAAAAAATATGTACATTATCGGCACAAGGTTCTTTAAACCTTTTTGGTAAAATACCTCAGAGTGAGACATTTATTTACGTCAAAATAATCAACCTTATGTTTTGCCGGTAACAAAACCATAGCTTGCAGTTCACTCGGCCTACGGTTGACGCCATCTATCGAGTTATAATATTACTCACAACATAGTAACTTTTAATAGTAGTATAGCGTTGGCCGACGGCATCTTTTACAAAGATAATTTTCTATCTTGAACAGATTTAACGTGAACTACCATAATTTTTTGTAAACTTTATGTAAGTTTACCTAAGCAAATAGAAAAATTACTTTTCTTTTCATCCTTTGAAATTGATTGACAATTTATAAACTCATAACTATAACTCTAAAATACCTAATCAACAATTTGTTACTAATCGGGTAATTCATACAGATACTGTAAAAAGTAACTCGAACTATAAAATGGTTATAGATATACAAATCACACGATAAGGGAAGCCGCAATAAACAGCAGAAGGAATGAGTGACAGACGCGTGCAGATTACAAAAAATCTGTATAAAGAGGTGTGATAGATAACATATGGTATTGTATAATGATATTATTTATTGTATCACCGATAGTTGATCGAAGGGTGTGACTGGCCTATCGATAGTAGAACTGACTGACTAATTTCCATATCATAATCAGAATCTAGATAAGTAAATATTAAAATACAGCACGGTAGGTTGAGAGAAATGAGTAGCTACTTTAGTATTGTTGCTCAGAATATAAACCTAGTTATCTTACATGTGGTTATTCCTGGTACAGACGATGTTATACGTAACAAAATACGCTCATAAAATACAATCGGCAGAAAATTATAATTTAGGCTAAGTAACGTTTTTATAGTTGTATAGCGAATTTGAGTGTTTAAGTTTCTCAGAACTAAATCCGTAGCATGTCATTATGACTGTAATCTTACGAAGCACATTGTTACAATGGCTATACATATATCCTAATATCAAATGCTTGACTAAAATCCGAAATAAGAAAATAAAATAGTGTTCAATATTAATTAAAACCTTAACATTTGAGAAAAAGTATAAAAGATTGAAGTGTAAAAGATTGAAGAAATATAGTTGAAGATTAGGTGTCTATGTATAGTTTAAATAATTAACAATAGGAACATGTTAGATAACAAATACTTGTTAAAAGAAAAATTCGTTAGTATACATGTGTAGTTGTTAATTGACGACGTTTATGCTATTGATTTATTTTTAAACATTAACAATGGCAGAAAACCCAATTACAGTAACTATGAGTGGAGACGGCGTGTGAAGGTGTGTGGCTGATTAGATTAAATGAATTGGCAGGGAAAATGGTGATTAGATTTACTGATACAATTCTTAAAGTTGATAAAAAACATGTGTGTCCAAATTATCTCATGATAGCGAAATCAACCTATCACAGGGACCTGTGTGACTAACCGAGTGCAATAAAATACTTATTACAAGCTCTTCTCTGGACAAAAAGAGTAATCATGATAGAAATATAAGTTAAAATAAATATGGACAATGTTTTAAATTAACCCAGAATATATGAAAGAAAGAAAGAAAGAAAAAAAGAAAAACCATTTATTTTGCTACGACACACAACAAAAATTTAGAAACACCGAAAAAAAGCCCATAGTGCGTCGCAGCGCAATCCACCGAACATATACTTCGTGAAATATAAAGTAAATTCCAGAACATTTGCATAATGCTTTTTGCTACTAACAATTACAAAAAACCCGACTGCCTAAACAGTGACGAAAATATACCAAAGACTTGAAAAAAGATTGAAGACATAGAAAATCCAGATAAATTGTACATTGACCTTCTAATCTGCCTATCCAGGTAACACGTAGGTGTATGTTATTTACGATGCTGGAAATACTTTTAGCTCACATTTACTAAATACTAATTTGAAATGAACAAGTCTTACATTTGATGGTAACGGTCAGATTATTTTATTTTGAGGTGATCTTGTCTCTCCAACATTGGCAAATGAATACGAATTGTCTTTTGAGTGTCATTTCGGACAGCATAGTTTAATTGTTGGTACCGCCTTAATAGCAGTTTACTTTAAAGATTTTCAAGATATTGACTGCCTCGTTCGCCGAGTGGTTGCAAGTGCGACCGGGAAAGGGGTTTCGAGTTCGATTTCCGGGGTAAAGTATTATAGGGTTTTTAAAAAAAAATCAGTGGTAGCACGGAGTCTGGAATTGTGCACTGTATATGACAATACGCTCACCCCCTATTATATATACTATATACTCATAACATAAATAGTGAAAAGTGAGTGTTACATTGTAGTGGCATTAAGTGCCGTAATATGCAACTCTGCCTACCCCTTCAGGAAAACCCAAAAAACAAAGTAAGTATACTAAATAATAATAAATATAATGTTAAAAGCAACGATTGTGACATATTATTGAATGGTGAGAAATTAGAGTTTGTAAAAGAGACAACTTTCCTGGGAATTACTGTAGACGACAAATTGCAATGGGGTCCTCACATTACATCATTAGCGGGACGATTGAGCTCTGCAGCTTATGCTGTCTGGAAGATACGACAGTTAACTGACATAGACACGGCAAGACTAGTGTATTTCAGTTACTTTCATAGCATTATGTCGTATGGCATCTTGCTGTGGGGACACGCTGCTGACATTGAATCTATCTTTATCTTACAAAAGCGCGCCGTCAGAGCTATCTACAATCTAGGTCGTCGCGAATCACTCAGAGAAAGGTTTAAGGAGATCAACATTATGACCGTTCCATGTCAATTTATTTATGAAAACATTATGTATGTTAGGAAAAACCTACAGTTATTTGGTAAAGTGTCGGACAGACACCACTATCAAACTAGACATAAGAATAGATTAAGTCAGCCAATTTCGAGATTAGCGAAAGTAAGTAAGTCGTTCATGGGATTCTGTGTTAAATGTTATAATAAGATACCAGGCGATGTACAACAACTAAATGAATCGAAATTTAAATTATGTATAAAGAAAACTTTATGTAGACAAGCATATTACAAACTTAATGAATATATAGAGGATAAAAATGCTTGGATGCAGGCTAGTCCGGCTCCACAGGATAACTAAAAACACTTGTTTTAATGAAATCGTAAATAATACAGCCATATTGCTAAATTGTATATTGTTTAACTTAGATAACCATTGTAAATGTGAGAGCCCTGTAATTAACTTAATATTAAATTAGATTAGTAGATTTCATTTGTGTCAGCTTGGAGTTGTCATGCTCACTCAAAGGTCTCATTGGCGGTGGCGCGTGCAGTGGATCGCTCGATTCCCTACAATATGGTTGAGTTGGGCGGTGCTGGTGTACGTGTCATGTTCGTGAACGGGCGCCGTCAACTGGGACTGGTCAGCTCCAGACTGTATTACTGTCCTTAAGGTTATTTTCTTTTTTGATCACTTTGACTGGATTTTAGTGTTACATTGTTCTCGCACAATCCAAACAGCAAAACTATGTAACTAGTAAATTGTATTGTGAACCTGATTGAAAAAGAGTAACCTATGGAGTTTCTTGCTCGTTCTTCTCCATAGGAATCTACGCCTTGGAATGAGCAAATAGCTTCACTTTAAATTTTTGTTTTTGTTGACGTTCAAAAGTGCCATTCTGGCCTAATTGAAATAAAAAAAAAAAAAAAAAAAAAAAAAAAAAAAAAAAAAAAATATTGTTACCTGTTCAACACAGCAACTAAATTGACAGAGAAGGCCCCAATGTAGCTGGTCCTCCAAGACCTCTCGCCGTCCATCAAAAGGGCTTGTAGTGGAGGATCATCCTTGTACAGTCCCAGGGCACAGAACACCATCTCCATCATCGTGTCGTGGGTGAAGTAACCGGTGACTTTCTTTCCAATGCCCTCCACGGAATTGGAGAAGCTGTCGTAAAGGTCCTTCAGAGGTAGACGACCAAGGTTCTCGTTTACCTAGATATGGAGAAAATTGTCGTTAGACCTTTTTATTTGGACATACATAAATCGGTAAGACAAAATTATAACAAACTAGCTTTTACCCGCGGCTTCGCTCGCGTCACTAAAGGATAAAAAGTAGCCATACACCATAACACACAGCGCCATCTATACCAATACTTTTGTTTTCCCTCGGGAATATCAAATTTTTCCGGGATAAAAAGTACCCTATTATTTAATCCAGACTTCTAACTTTACCTCTGCAAAATTTCAAAGCAATCGGTTCAGTAGTTACGTCGTAAAGGCGGAAAAAACAAACAAACTCACTTTCCAATTTATAATATTAGTAAGGATTTGGAAGAATCTTATTCCAATTCCGCTATACCAAAGTTCCCTGATCATATTTAGTTTCCTATGGCAATAATAGTCTGTTTAAGATTTAGATGATATCAACAACGACACATCACACAATCACAATATGAATAAAGTATACGAAAAAAGTACAAGAAATGCGTAACATAATTGTAAACATGAGACAGTTAGACCAACATCAAAATTCCGTAAGAACAAATATTGACAGCCAGAGTGCCCCATCAGGCGTTGTACCATGCATGTTTCTGTGCTCTTCTTTACTTAAATACGTGTGAAGCAAATATTTGTGTATAAACGAAAGCGTATAAATAACTAATTTGAAATCGGGTGTGAATTACTAGGCAATACTGTTACTAAGGTTTTATCACGATGACTGTTCCTCAGAACAGTCTGTCCACTGTTCTACGAATGTTCCCGAGTGAATAGTTTGCTTATGGACGACGTGCTCCATTGTAGACCGCATCATCACTTACCACCAGGCGAAATAGTAGTCAAACGTCGCCCCATCAAATATAACAAAAAATGTATGTAGCGTGCAGAACATACCGTTGCTAAGTACAAATCGAAAAATGTTGCCCTAAGCTCATATCATATTGATATAAATTAATGGCCACAAAATTGTAAATTAAGTATCTATTAAGGTTTTAATGAATAATTTTGTATAGACCTTTTGGAGCCGACTTCTAACCTATCAGTGGGTGGGCAACCTATCAGTACTAATAATAGTTATTTTTCATTTTTTAGTTTTAACCTTTTGTTTGTTATTAGTTTTTGGTTTTTTGAAGTCGGTTTTTTAAACGCAATTTTTATTTTTATAATCCTTTTTCACCACCACATTATTGTCATATACAATAGAAATCAATTCTTACCCAAGACCCATATCCGTTTCTGTAATAATGTCTGACGTCATCATAGTACTCCATGATGACAAGATCCTCATCAGTGAAGACGGAGCACCAGGGAGACTTCAGCGTGGGTCCCCAGGAGCGGTAGAACCGACACAACTCGTAGATTGAGAACAGGTCTGAAGAGTTCAGCTTGGAGGTCAGGCCTAGACGGTACTGGACTGCGTTTTGGATCTAGAAAAGTATTATAAAACATTTAATATATTACTAACTAGTCGTTGAGAAGATATAGTTAAGGATGGATAACTGAATGAGTTGTACCGAATATAATAAATTAATATTATGTAAATTCTCTGAGGAATTTTTCAGGAAATTTAAAAATTAACAAATTATAAAATGCATTATCAAAATAAACAGGCACAGGCCCACGGGAAGAAATTCCAGTTGGAATATGTGGGGCCTATGTATCTGTTTTTTTATTATGTATTGTCCTCTGTGTTGAATGTGTGTACATAAATAAATAAAAATGAGACTTACAGCAACATAATTAGGTGATGTAAAATACGAGTCCAGTTGATAATTCAGAGTTGGTCCACCTTTAACTTCTTGCTGATAGCGATCGCAGTTCTCATACGGCTGCAAAATGCCAAGAAAATATATGAGAAAAACATGATTGGCGCTACGCCCAGTTCAATGCTCCATGCTACTAGAATACTACTGATGAACTTAATAGATAATTAATATGAACTTTCTATTTATAATATCTTTTTTTTACTGTGTCGTGGGTACGTTTACAAACATACAAGTTCACATATACATGACACCCAGACCCGGAACAACAATCTGATAATCACACAAAGAATTGTTCCGTGCGGGAATCGAACCCGCGACACGTTGCGCGGCAGCCAGTTGCCCAACCACCGCGCCAACCGTGCAGTCAGTCAATATCTGTTTTTCAACTATGTTAAATGACACTTGATATAAATGGTAATTTACATTTCATAATCAATAATTTATCTATTCCAGTAATTAAAAATGATCATATGAACAATGTCACTTCCCAAAAAAACGTACTGATGGCTACACCCTGAAGAGTAGGTAGACCAGTGAACAAATATGTAGGTAACATAACATAACACCGCGCCTTTTATCCCCGAAGGGGTAGGCAGAGGTGGACATTACGACACATAATGCCACTGTACAATGTAACAACCACTTTTCACTATTTATGTTATGCGTCCCATGTAATAGGGCGTAAGCCTATTGCCATAAACCGTGCACAATTTTAGACTCCATAATACTACTGAGTATTTTTAAAAACCCAATAAACCCTACCCGGGACTCGAACCCGAGAACCATTGCCAGTCGCACTTACAATCACTCGGACAACAAGGCAGCATATGTATGTACATAACTACGTACGTTTAAATTAACGGCAAAAAAATAGAAGTAAAGGGTTACCTAAAATAGAAGTTTGAAATTGGAAGGGAGTCTCCTAACTTACCCTAATAACATCATCCCTCGTCCGAACTGATTCCACAGTAACATTCAGATTAATGCCATCAGTCAGGCCATGTACGAAGGCAGCACAGCTGGTTATGGTCCTCTGCTCGTTGGTAGGTCTGAAGTGGAAACGGTCAGCGGTTCCAGTCATCAGGTGAGGGTACTTCTCCCTGATCCTCTTGCCAATGTCGTACAACTCCTCGTAACCGACTCCCGTGAGGTAGGAGGTGGTTGTGTCTAAAGTGTTGTTCCAGGTCCATTTTTTGAAGTCCTCGATGTCCTGGAATTTGGTGATTTGATTGTTTTATTAGGTTTAAATTTTTTGTGGCTCTTATTTGGAGACTCTGGCCTATTTTAAGCTTCTTAAGCCTATATTTTTAACGAAACGTACTAAGTTTAAGATTACGCCTTGTTTGGTAATGTAGGTACCTACATTCTCTGGAAATAGTAAAAGTCTAAACATTCCCCTGATCTTTATTTGTGTTAAACTTCATCATAATTTTTTAAGTGTGTGAGCCAAGCTTCTGCATGAATGGGCCGGCTCGACCGGAGTGATACCACGGCCTCACAGAAAACCGACGTGAAGCAAAAGCCCAATTACCCCCCTCCCTAGTCTCCCGAATCCCCGTATCCTCCACAATCCTCAAATTCCCAATTCCCAAAAGACCGGTAATGTACTTGTAACGCCTTGGTGTTTCGGGTGTCCATGGGCGGCGCCAATTGTTTACCATCAGGTGATACGTATGCTCGTTTACCGGCTTATGCTATAAAAAAAGTGTTCATCAGTTTACGAAAATACTTAAATAGGGTATACCTGTGCACAAAGCTGGCTATTGCCAGCTTCATAGCTGGCGATGATCTCTTCCTTGAGGTGTGTGACCTCCTTCATGCCAAGGGTCACACTGGTGCCAGGGTTCCTGTTGCCATGTCGGTTCAGTGTCCATATTGACACTGCTTGGCAATCTAGAACACAAGAATAGAATAATAAATATTATAAGAATAGAATAGAGGTAGATAGCTGAAGAGTTTGTTTTTTTGTTAGTTTGTTTGAACGTGCTAATCTCCGAAACTATTAATTCGAATTGAATAATTCTTTTTGTGTTGGATAGTTCATTTATTGAGGAAGGCTATAGGCTATAAAACATCACGCAATGACCAATAGGAGCTGAGCAGAGCGTGTGAAACCGCGTGGAAGTAGCTAGTAGAATAATAAAATAAGAGTATTTAGCTAAAGATCGATTGGAGGGGCCTATATCGTATAGGAGGAAAACGATAAACGGGCATAGAAAAAAATTCAAGTATTCCCAGACACTTCTCAGAATTTCTCCATTAAAAACCCACAGTACAAAACATATCGAGATATTAAAAAGTTTATATTACATACATATAAGTAGGTACTTATGAATAGAAAAACGAATTACATCACCAAACCGCAACCGACTCATGATCATAGATCATGTATTGTCACAACAAACAAACATTAGGTAATCGAACGCAATACATATTATACATGTGTAGTCATTCGCTAATCACCGCCTGCATAAATATATTATGAGACTGATAAGGGTTTAGAATTTTAATATTATTAACATTAAAGTCTGCAATTCTGAAGTAAATTCACTATTTCAAGTATTAAATTGGAGTGTCTGTTTGTATAACATCATAACATTTTTATCCCCGAAGGGGTAGGCAGAGGTGCACATTATGCCACTGTACAATGTAACACCCACTTTTCACTATTTATATTATGAGTCCCATGTAATAGGGGGTGAGGCTATTGCCATATCCCGGGCACATTCCAGACTCCGTGCTAGTACTGAGATTTTTTTAAAAAAACCTAATAATGGCTGTTTGTAATATTAAAATAACCTTTTTACTACATGCATAATGAATATACTTTAGATACACATACCAAAATAACATTTTTTATAATTTTTGTTTGTCTGTCTGTCTGTCTGTACTGGTTAATCTCTGGAATGGCTGGACCGATTTTGACAGGTCTTTTATTGGCATATAGCTGATGTACTAAGGAGTAACATAGGCTTACTAGGTACTTTTATTTTGGAAAATAGGAACTAAAACTGAGTTATGTCCTAAAATTCATATTCTACGCGGACGAAGCCACGTATAACAACAAGTAACTAATAAAAACAAGTACGTTTACAAAACATGAAATAATTTCTACTCTGTTTATGACGTATTTGTAACTCTTATAGGTATACATAATTATTCACATAACTACATATACCGTGGAAGAAAGTTGGAAGACGACATAGGTATGTATTTCAATAACAATACTATCTTGGTGTTGCACATTTAGTTACGTCCCATATTACTACGGGATCTTAACACAAAGAAACTATCTTTTAGAATTGATGGTAGAGAAACTTCAAAATGTGTTTACAGTTAGACGTTTGCGTATGAGTTCATGTAGTCTAAAGTGAATCTATAATTGGGACCTAAACAAGGCCATCGGGTATCTATAAGAAATATATCCAAATATATGGCAATTACTCACCCCCTATTACATGGGACTCATAACATAAATAGTCAAAAGTGGGTGTTACATTGTACAGTGGCATAATTTGCACCTCTGCCTACCCCTTCGGGGATAAAAGGCGTGATGTTATGTTATGTGATATCCAGAAATGCTCTTAATTTATATTCAAATAATAAATATAATAAATCATTGCAATAAAATAAGGAATTTCACAAGTTTATAATGCAAAAGTTCACTATGTTTACTCACACGTTTTTTTAAACAAATTATGATACGAAATCGATTAACACAATGCAACTAAATCTACAATAGTTGAAAAACCTATTCTCAAAATCGAACAGGAAAACCGCATACTTCGGAGAAGCGCCCAAATTATCCATATACAGGCGTTTTTTATTTACATGTTAACGAAAAAACAATATATGGTAGCACTCCAAAAAAATGTAGCGTACAGTCTATATACCTCTACAGCGTCATACAGTTTGTTAAAGACTTGGAAAAAATGCCTTCATGGGTAATGTACTTGAACGAAGTTTTTTGTTACTTCGCCAGTTATCATCAATCATCACAATAGCTCGGCATTTAGTGACAATCGTTGGACTAAGTGTCCATGTAATTATTCTACAGTTTCTTTAGAGGAAAGAACATAAACGTACCTATAATTTACATTTTTATTTTGTTTAGAATCTACTTACGACAAAATATTTGTGAAAGGGACACTAGATGGACTATTAATATGACTATTACGTTTCATTTTCATGTTTTTTTTTATTGTATAATCCCGTAAACAAATAGACGGATCTCCTTGTGGTAAGTAATTGGTGTCGCCTTTTGACACCAGTTACCGACTTTTTGGGGCTTAGAAATTAGGATTGTTGGGGATTCAGGGAGTGACGAGATTGGGGAAGGGGAGGGGGGAATTGTTTTGGCTTACGCTGTAAAATTATGTATATTTGTATGAATACATAAATTATAAACACAAAAACCAGTAATTGTAGAGCTAATACACTATTGTACCTACAATGTTTTGTATCCCGATATTCTTACAGAATCGGGAGCTACTCGAGGCAAATATTCTAAATTATGGGTGCACATGCACAAAGTTAGTATTTAATGTATGCATGCGTAACATCTTGATTAAGACAATTGTCTTGATGAGACGTAGTTTGCACCAAGATATCATGTTGCATGCATTTATCGTTATTACCACTTATTACTTAGCGACCGAGGCAGACCCTAATGAACAAACTCAACTGCACATTTGATGGAGATCGGGAAGCAGCTTTCTTGTACAGCTGAACCCTTTATAGCGCGATCTCCAACCCCCCGTGTGTGCAGAGATTATGGCAAACATTTCAAGTTTCAGGTTACTGACAATGATAATCAAACAGCCTATAAGTGCCCACTACTAAGCAAAGCCTCTTCTCACACGGATAAGGTTTGAGCATTAATCACCATGCTTGTTCGTTGCGGGTTGGCGATTTCAAACTTATAATTAAAATTTATAAGTCTAGGTTTTCTAACCGTTTATGAATGTAACTTCTGAAATATGTTTTTTTTCGAGATCATTGCCGCTTACATGAATTAGGGTCAGGAAAAACTTGTTTAATACCCTAACACCCTAATTAGTCGCGGAGAACCTAACGGGTTACCGGGGCTCCGGCTCAATGTGCAGGAGAAGAAACGGGGTGGTATTTAGTCAGTAAGAGTCTGACACTCCCTCCCGCCTCACCCAGGTGGGAGCAATAATTCGATGATTGACGCTAACAACAGGTTGTCCTTATATCCTTAATCTTGTGTGTAGATAGACCCATGAGTTAGGGCCACCAAAAATAAAGGATACATATTTATGTGAGTCGATAAGTTAAAATTATTATTCGCATAGACGTATAGTATAAAAGTGACCACATTAATGGCGGAAAACAACCCCATTTAAACTGTCAAACACCAAGCGGTCACCGGTGACCGCGACCTATTGTTCTTTAACTCGTCGAGTACCGGTTTTATAGACACAATTAAAGAACAATAGGTCGCGGTCACCGGTGACCGCTTGGTATTTGACAGTTTAATTGTGTCTATAAAACCGGTACTCGACGAGTTAATGCAGTGCATCTCTCAAAGCATTATGCAAGTTTAACTTAGAACTTGCATACGTTTTGCATAAAATTTATTGGAAACAATAATCATGTTAGTTGTTAAACCCTTCAATCAATTTCGAAGTTATTATGGAAGACCTATATTCAGCATGAAAGTGCTCTGATTGATAACGACATATACGGTGGTAGCAATTAGAACAAAACGTAGGTATGGAAAATTAAACTTTAATTTATTTTTCAAATAATTATATATTCGATTATCAAGCATGTAGACAAAGTCTTAAGGAAATTGTCGCAATCATAGTTATCAATAACTCGTAACAAAGAGTTTGGAGTTGGTAATTGTTTTAATAGACTTTTTTAAGGAGGGAAAATAACCGAATGGCTGCTCCCCCCTGGGTGAGGCGGGAGGGAGTGTCAGACTCTTACCGACTAAAAACCACCCCGTTCCTTCTCCTGCACGTCGAGCCGGAGTTTTAATAGACTAGACTTCTAAAATCTAAAACGATAGAAGCAATAAAAATGTCTATGTACTATAAGAACTCCTTTACAAGAATATTTACCTACTAATCTTTAAGAAGAACATATGAAGCTATGGTACAATATTGAATCAGGGTTTTCCCTAACCGCATGTTCTAAGTAAACCGCATAGTACATAGAGATACCACTTTGCATAGTTAACCAGCAAGACATATGTATGTGATAAAAAATATATCAAGAATTAATTGACTTTTCTTGTAATGAACTATTCTTGGAAATAATCTCTGTGAGGTGTAGTTGAAATGACATTACTTATATAAAATAAAACTAATCAGTTAATTGTTACTAACTAAAAAAAGCAAATAGCTAAAACACGTACTTCATAATGCTTTTTAGTTTGGATGCGACTGCCGAGCACAGGCTTTTTGGTTCAATTTTCCAGATCAAACAAAAGATAGTGCCTTTTTCTGAGGTTGAGGGGGGGAAATCATCCAATGACTTCTCCCACCCGGTTGAGGCGAGAGGGAGTATCAGACTCTTGCTAACTATAAACCAACTATTTTCTACTCCTGCTCTTCGAGCCGGGATCCTGGCAAAAGATATTGCCTACGGTTTTTCAGTCTTTAGGAAATTCTTAGTTGTCACAGAGTTTGAAATAGGGATGATGACAGGGTATGAAAATTAAAAATCTAATTAGTCCGTCAGTTAAGTAATGAAAAAATATTAGACACGTATTTTTTTTATTTTCTCGTATAAGAAAACAATATTTAGATAAAACGAATCGAAGTTTAAGAGTGGGAGGTAGCTACGTCATTTTAGAGTATAAATTGTACTCAAAAGTGACGTCATGCGATATTTCAAATCAATACATCTTCGAAACTATTCGTTTCCGTAAGAAAATTGAAAATACGTGTCTAATGTTTTTAAATAATCTACAAGACAGATATTAAAATAAAAATTAGTCATCTACCCTATTGTGTCCAGTTTACCTATGTATCGAAATGAAGAGTTTTATACTGTCTTCTGTCTACTTAGACAAATATCTCTAATGTTGATGAGAACTTGTATGATTGATGATGGCGGTTTAATAAATATTTTTTCTCGTTATTATAAGATTGGCCATAAAATTATTGTGGAAATGACAGTTATGTCGTGAGAAATCCGTATTGTCTATTGTTTTGTATGGAGTTTTTTGCGTTCCACGACATAACTTAAACATGAACACTTAAGCCCTAGTTAATGGTAAATATTCATAGCTTGTGCACTTAGCCTAGGGCTAGTACCGACTATAATTTTATCATTGAATGTCTAAAAAAATGTGTTTAACTTTTTTTTCGTAATACTCCTATAATAATATAGTATAATATAGTATATCTTCTTTTTTTATAGTATTTGTAAATTGTAAAAAGATGATAAGACTCTTTTGCCTTCTTAGGCCAGTAAGATAATTAGTGTATCGTTTTACCTCTTCAGAAAATTAAGGCGTGATGTTGCAAACTATGCACTGCACTGTACCAATAACAATTAACTTATGACTCTGTCCACACAGTTTCGGTACCCAAGCATCATAAATTAATGACAACTATTTACGTATGCACACTAAGAATAAATTAAAGTATAATAGATAAATATTCATTAAACACATTATCATAGGTCAGTAGGCAACCATCCATTCATAAATAAATAGTTAGTATTCAGAAAAATCAAAACAAACAATAAAAATTAATTGGACCAAAAATTTAAAATTAAATGCTATTCATATTCATACGTATTTTAAACTTTCTCTCAATAACATTTGGGTGAAATTTTGTCAAACAGTGATTTATGGGTCCTACTGACCCGATGAGAAATCTAGAAGGCTTCATAATCTAGAAATAGACTTACTTGTTGGTATTGGGTAGTCTCTGATATCTCCTCGAACGGTATCATATGGTGTTTTGGATCCAAACAGCTGATAAGGGCACGGGGCGTTCCAATAGCAAGCCTCCGCGTATACCGCGGTTAGTACTAAAAATAGTAGTTTTGACATGATGCCTGCGAGCCGGCGGCGGTAGTGTCCGATTGTGTTGGGTGAACCGCGTCAGCTTCCTATATTGTCCCCACTACGTTAGGTAGTAATACACTAGCTAAAGCCGCATCCACAATGAACGCACGATGCAACAAAAAATATTCCAACAAGACGTCACTTTTTACCGCCATATTTCATATTCGAATTTGGAAAAAAGAAGACGGCCGCTGTCATTTCTTTGTCAATTTTAACGCAATAAACGAATGAGTTTAGTTCTTTTATTTTATTTTTAAAAATTAATAGTGGTGTTAATATTGATTTATTGGAGAGTTGTTGTTCTAAGATGCCTCTGACTTTATTTGACCTCAATTAAACCCGTTCAGTGTAACGGATCATGTATGCGGTTTAATTGTTTCGAGCTAACACTTAGGTGTTCGCTGAGGTCAATTTCTTGTGCACGTGATAACATCGACACCCATTACTTGTACAGAGAGAAGTGCAATAAAGATTAATATTGAAATGACACGCGATACTCGATACTGCTTACATATATGAACCTAATCTTAACAGTTGATCAGACTTAGTTATTAGATAAAGGATGATTCAATAACAATATCATCTCTCTACATAAAAACACCTAACCAATATTACACACGGTTAATAAGGATATTTGCAATTTACTCACGTAGTTACTCACTTACTACGACAAGGATAACTATATAAATATTTTTCAAGACTGCATTAAAGTTACTCGTGTGAAGCAAGCCCGGCGACATTGATTGGATTTTACTATCAAATGCCACCTATCAAGATAATCAGATCACACTTCACCTGATACCTTTCTGATATCATAAGACAGATATTTTGTCTCACAAATATACATACAACTACTTCACACATATCTGTTAGTTAAAATTTAAATATTAGTCATATTATGTCACGCCTTTACCGCAAGTGATACTAATCTTAGTTTAATCTAATCAATGGTCACAATATGGATGCAATTGACATTATCGTATCCTGACCACGCACTGGTGTCCACGCCTCCACGCCCATTCCATGTGTTCATTATAAGATTTACAATCAATTGTAAATTAATATACCTAATCGAAGGTAGCTAATATGTAAAGTCCACTCACGCGAAGCACCCCTGATCACCACAAAATGACTTGTAATCGTGATATTGAGAAGTTGTAAATGGATTTGAGGTTTTCATTTTATGAGTTTTAATAAATTAGTTTCATTTTGATTGTAAAAGGATTCAGAAACAGGGACATTACCTGGGTAAATGCTTACAAGTAAAAATAGGTGTGGTCGTCTTGTATGGCGAAAATTGCTATTAAGACATAGATTACGACTACTAAAATCGAAAATGAAACATTAATTATATCTGCATCATGAGTAATATGGGTAGAAATGCATCACATAATTCTATTTATAACGTACTGTAAAATCAATGAAGGAACACAAAAATGTGTTTCTATTTTAAATAGGATGATATCTAATATAAGTTTTCATGAAACAGTTATAATAAGCGTGACCTGTTTGTTTGGGTCAAATTTAGTCATTAGAATTTCAGTCTCGTCCTCACCACATATCAATCTGATTTTCGATACCCACTCTTATTCTTGATGACCATATACATTGAAGCAGTTTAACATGAAACTTATTTTTATGTATTACTTGTTAAGAAAGAGCATTACTATGTGGCGACACATGGTACATGTCTACGGATGACGTCACATAAAATCCTACATCGCACATGCAAAGTTTACAATTGAATTAACACGAGTAGAAAATCCGAACAAACAATTGTTGGGGATTCGCCGCGCAACCAAGGAGGAAGGAAGAACTACCCTCACCGCTCGGACCGCAAATCATCAATCAAGAACTACCCGACCGAAGCTCGGACGCGGACGGCTCGCCCACACCAGTGCGCGCTCGGCCGTTGCCCCGGTAACGCGTGGCCCTCCGTCGTGTCCGGTGCCCGGTCAGCCACCAGCGGCTAGCCCCGGGTACCGGCTCGGCGGGTCCCCCGCGCGGGGTACCGACCGACGCGTCGCCACAGCGCCGCCACGACCCCCCCCCCTCCCCCGCAACAACCACCAGCGCCCCCCCCCCCCGCGGGGTGGCGCCACTGCGAACAACACCGCACCCATCATGCCTCACGGTGGCCGTGAGGCACCACCACCAGGATCACCGCGCTCCTCCAAGCCCAGCAAGGGCAAAGGGCGCGTCTTTAAAAACTCCCGGCTGCTGCCGACGGAGGTAAGGGCGCTGCAGGCGGTCGCGAGGCAGTACAGGGAGACTGCCTCCCCTTCAACCACTCCGTCAGGAAGCGCCGCAGGAGCGGGGGAGGAATTCTTCCCCCCGCCCCCCTCGATACCCGACACCCCGTCATCGCCATCGCCGCCGCCACGCGCGCCCCGACCCGGCCGGCCCGCGCCTATGGACACCATCGCGCCGGAACCGGAACCCATGGACGTGGGTGTGCCACACCCGCCCGCCACTGACCGCGACGCGGGTGTCGCACACCCAACCACCGCCGGACTCGCCGCGGATGCGACGCAGCCGCCATCAGCGATACCACGGCCGACCACACGGCCGCTCGGGAATGCGGGGCCGCCGCGGTCCACCCCCCGCGGCCGTCACCTCCCGCACCCCTACACTCACCCCTGCAACACCTGCCGGCGGCACAAGGGCAGTAACGCGCCCCGCTACGGCCCCGCCGCGCCCACAGAAACCAAAGAGGCCACCAGAGGGACCACCGACGGCGCCTACACGCGCCCCGGCGCCCCGACCTGCGCCCCCACGCACCGCGCCCCTACTCACCACGCCCCCCGGCAGCATCATGCCGGAGCGCCTCCCGTCCCCGCCAGGGGAGCCGGTGAAGAGACAGGCGGTTTTCACCACCCCGCCCTTCCACCCACCGCAGATATTGCCGCCATTCGCGCCGCCGCCACGGGACGCTGCGCCCCCGACGTCGTACGCGGCCGCCGCCGCGACCGGAGCCGCCGAAGCGCGCGCCCCCGCTTCCACCACGACGGACCGCACTACCCCACCACGGGGAAGCACCCCCGCCGCCGACATCGCACGCGCCCCCGCAACCGGACCACCGAGCGCCCCCGCTCAGAGGACGCGATACCCGCCCCTCATCGTCGAGAGGCTCCCCAACTGGGTTGAGCACTTCGCGGCGCTGAGGAAGCGGATGGCCACGCGCCCAACGCCCGCCCCTTCGGCCAAGGCGTGCGCTTCACCCCCCGCTCCGACGAGGAGTACAGGGCGATCCAGGCGTACCTAGCCGACCTGGAGAGAACCCAGGGTGTCGCCTGGTTCTCATACTCCCTACCGGCGGAGCGGAGCCTAAAGATAGCCGTCAGAGGGTTGCCGGTGGACACCCCACCGGAGGCAATCCAAGAAGCGCTGCGGGACGCCGGCTACAAGGCCGAATACGTCCGCCCCATCCGTGCGCGCCAGGGACGACCTGGGTGCCTGTACTACGCCCAGATCGCGCGCACGGAAAACACCATCCCGGGCATCTATGGAGTGACGGAGTTGCTCTGCATGCCCGGGATCAAAATCGAGGCATGGCGGGGCAAGAAGGGCCCAGCGCAGTGCCACCGCTGCCAACAGTTCCGGCACTCGTCGCACAATTGCCACCGGCCCATGGCATGCGTGCGGTGCGGCGAGTCGCACCCGGCCAGCGAGTGCCCCCGCCCGAGGGAGGAGCCGCCGACGTGCGCGAACTGCGGCGGAGCGCACACGGCGAACAACGCGTCGTGCCCGGTGTTCCGCCGCGAGACGCGAAACCCCAGGGCGGGCACGGTGGCGCGCACCACCACCACCACTACCACCGCCACCACCGCATCAAGCAAACCAGCCGCCGCGCAACCGAGGGGCGAACCAAGCGCCCCTGGCTCATTGATGGCCGCGGCAAACGAGCCAGGCGCAAAGCGCCGTGCAAGACGCAGGCGCAGGAGGGCAAAGAAAGCGCCCCCCGCCACCACTGCCACCCTTGCCACCGCCCCCGCCCCCACTGCCACCCCCGCCGTCGCCCGCGCCGCTGCCAAAACAGGAGCGCCTGCTGCCCCCGCGACCGAAGCGCATGCCACCGCCGCAACCAAAGCGAAGCGACCGCCAACGGCGCCAAAGCCGCCACCACCAACGATGCTCACCGCAATATCTATCAATGCCGTCGTGCGCATCCTGCAGGGGATCGTGACGGCGCTTATACAAGAACAGAGCGATCCAGTGCCGCTGCTCCTAGACGCGATCAAGTCCCTGATCTGCGATGGACCACCGGCACCTTAGGATCATCTATTGGAACGCCAACGGGATGTCCCCCGAGAAGACCAGGCTATTGAAGCTGCTGCTAGACCAGCGGCAAGCTGATATAGCCCTGATCAACGAGACCCACCTTAGACCGGTAGACAAACTGAAGATGGCTGGCTTCCACATCTACCGGGAGGATCACATCTCGCCGTCAGGGATTGCCTACAGGGGACTGGCAATCCTGGTCAGGAGAAAAGTCGTCCACCAGCTGCTGCCGGTGCCAACGCTGCGAGCGTCCTACGCACTGGGCGTGGAGATCTGCATCAACCACCAGCCGACCCGGGTGTTCGCGTTCTACAGACCGCCGCACTACCGCCTCGCAGTGGCTGACGTCCACACCCTGCTGGACTCGCCACTGCCAACCATCATCGCCGGTGACTTCAATCTGAAGCACACGGCGTGGAACGCGAACGCCAACACACGAGAAGGCAGCCGCCTGCTCGACGATGCAGAGCTCCACAACTACGTCGTGCTCGGGCCGGAAGCCCCGACACACTACCCGCACGACCGGCAGCGCACGCCCGACGTCATCGACCTGGCCGTCCTACGCGGCATCACCGCAAAAGCCAGCTGTGACGTCCTGGACGATCATCTCCGGTCAGACCACCAGCCAGTGAGTCTGATTATCGAGGACATCCCACAACACCTGCGACCTCTTCCCCCTCGCCCACGGCGGGACTGGCGCGCCT